ATTTCCTAAGCCCTCAACATTTCGATAAAATAGTGTCTAACCTATGTTCCTCTTACGAGCAAAATCTTCAGGCTTGAGTGCAATATTTTTTTAGATGAAATAATGAGTTAGCCGTCTTTGACAACACTAATTTAGAGGATAGGGTTTGGCGGAGTTCCTATATGATCATTCCGCCGGTCCGGTGAGCGGTAACTTCATCAATTAGATATAGGTCGGACCCGCGGTTCAAAAAAAAATTAATGTTATCTTTCCTTTCTATTCTCCCCCCTTTTTTAAACCTGCTGGTTGAATAACACAAATAATAAAAATGAATTCCAAAATAAATAAGGTGATTGATATTCGTTTTCATATCATATTCTGTAATAAATATCAGTATCGAAATTACTGCTGAATATTTTAATTATATTCATAGCACTTTCAATATTGGAATACTTTACAAGTTTAGAAAAATACTTTATAAGACGCCATATGGGCGGACTGCTCTTGTAAAAGGAATAATGTTGAGAGAATTGTCAGAACATAATTTAATTTCGGAAAGAATCCTAGTAATAACTATATTAGTAAACAAGGATATCATATTTGAATAAATAACGTAATCTTTTTTAAAATGTTAAATATATAATACAATATCGTCTGCTTAGGGTTGATGTGATAAAACCAGATAAAAAGTATTAGTCACAAAATAAATAAATAAACGACTCATATTTAGTAAAAAAAAAGAAAGGCTCTTTAATTTCGAAATAAAAAAGAGAAACAAAATTTAAAGTCGATTTTCCATAGCAAATTAAATGAAATATAGTTTATCGAAAATATCGTGAGCTCGTACCTTAAGGACTTCGGTCCTATTTGGGAACATATGAGTGAGTGGTTTTAGAATATATTCAATTTATTTTTTTTAAACGGGGTCTATTGAGGTTAATTTCGTTAAAATAGAATTTCGTAAATACATTTTCCCATTAGATTGAATCAATGTTCCATTCTTAGGGAGCTAAAAAACGGTTTTAGCCTTAAAATATAATCTCGGCCTCGTTTTGTTGAAAACATGGTTAAACTTTGGAAATAAGCATATACGCGTCACGCCTCAATGATTTGCGGATTTTATTCGGCACGCGCCTATAGATTGAGCCAAATTTACTGATTTTCCGCCATTTAAAAAAAAAATATAATCTCTAATATCAAATCAAAATAAAATCGGAAATTAATAAAACAAATTCAATCAATAATCGATGATACCGAACCATAAACAGAATATTAGATTAATGTGTTATTAATTGAGCATATTATATGGTAAAAAATAACGTTAACATTTGGTTAATTATTGCATTTGAATAATATTAATAATGACTTACTTTTTCAATAATATTGTTAATAGAAATTTATTAAAATATTGAATTTTATATGTTCATAAATTATATGAAAATGAACTTTTTGTAATAATTAATATTTAATAAAGTGCAAAAGTTGATAACTGACTGTGGTAAGTTGTTTTCATAAGCAATTCGTTGGTTTACCACAATGAAATTATAATAACTTTTAAAATAAAAATTTTTTTTTAACCTATTTAGTATACACGCCATAGATTGATTCTTAAAAAAAAAATATTTCCATTTTGCAAACCGAAATACGTTTGAATAGACCACATCGAAAACGCCGCCGCTTATGAAATTCACGATGACGCGCCGCCGATTTACCTATCGTAGCGATTGAGAATCATGAGAAAATATTTTGACAAAATTAGCAGCTAAACATTCAACAAGTTGAAATAATGATTCTACTCTTAGTGATTTAGAACAAGAGTGCCATGTTCATGTAAAGCCTTCAAAAGGTATGGATGTCCTAAATTTCTGGAGAAAAGAGGATCGAACTTCCTAATCTTTCCACGCTAGCTAAAAAAATTGTATTACGGCAACTATCACACTTAGTGAAAGAGTTTTCTCTACGAATGACGTTGAATTCAAGATCATGTCGGGAAATTTTGAATTTATAATGAACAAAAAATATACCGAGATATCTGTGGAGTAGTGAATATTTTAATTTAATTTTTCTTAAAAAAATTAATTGGCAATAAAAAATATATAATATAAAATTTTATAACGGTGCGCCGATTAAATCCGCCTATGTTGACGGCGGCTAAAAATTAACGCGCCGCCGGCCGCCGATAGTTTCATCGGCGTACTGGTCTACGTGTGATTTGTTTTTAATAAAGAAAGGTAAAATGTAAATAATAATTCTAAGGATAACAATATATAATGTTTAATTTCCAATCCTAGCAATAGGATATCGAACTACGTCACATGTCACAATAAGGTAACCTAAGAGAAGCCCATCCGCAATTTTTTGGGGCGCTGCAGTTATCTGTAGGCATGAGAGGCATGAGGGGTAAAACAACTTACTTAAACCTCCATGGTAAATACAAGATAGTTTATTCCATTAAAATTTAATTTTGAATGATTGGGGAATTATTAATAATATTGGAACTGTGAGTTCGAAATCATCTGTAGAAGAAATGGTTAAACCATTTGGTTAAATAAAATTATTAAGGCTGTGCCGATATTAATATTCGATATTTTATAATGATATTTATTTACCATCTATCCTTTGAACCAAAAAAAATATCAGTATTTTTTATTTTCAAAAAAAAAACCAACTAACTTTAGCGTGTAACGGTGAGCACAAATCGAGCGCTTCAAATGCTGCGTTGCGAGCGCGAATGAAGCATTTCAAACCTCGTGCAAATTGGTAAAAAATTACCGTTTGGCGTTAGCAACCATTTTAAAAAAAAGAAGCAAATAAGTTTGCTTTTTCGATACTTTTTTTAAATTCTTCGCTTTGTAATATCATATAAAAATGTAAATATAAACAACTTACTAATCCTAAAAAAAAAAGAATATTTAGAAATTTAAAGAAAATAAGAACGCAGACGATAATAAAATTTTTCAAAGACGAGTCCTTTTTTGTTAGTACTTATTTAAAATTTTGTATCGACGATATTGATATAAAGGCAACCTCAATTTAAACAAGGGACGCGTATGGCAAAAAGTAAACGCTCAATTTATGTGCACTATAAAGTGTATTTTGTTTCTTTTTTTTTAAATCTCCAAAAGTTAATAATCTCATTTAAAATATTTTCAATGTTTATGGTGGTGAATGTGTCGTTAAGCGGTTCCATTTGGCCGATATTTATAAAAAATGGCTAAATCAAGACTTTAATTAGATAATATTATTAGCTAAGTTTAACGGCATCGGATAGGATTTTTTTTTAATTACCGGCCTGATCCGATATTATCGGCACGGATATTTAATATCGGCACAACACCTAGTAAAAGTACAAAAAAAAAGTACAAATTTATAATAAAATTTAAAAGGATAAAAGTATAAATTTATAAAAGTTAAAACTTTTCTTGAAAATAAATATTCTCGATCTTCCCAATTATATTAAATTTCAACAAATAAGATTTACACACACTATGAAAAAAACATCCGATTAAGTATCATAATAATCGAACATTATAGTATGCAAATTTATAATTCAACAAAAATACATACTACAAAAAAAAACTTTGCAAATCTCTTAAACTATGAGAATTATTTTGGGATCAAGGGCAGAATATCATTTTTCGTAGCTTAGTAAACTCCTAGTTATGGTTTATAAGGGGATTAGTAAGAGGTTAGTGAATAGGGCAAATCTGTAACACCTTTATGAAAATGATATAGAATACTTAAGCATAGAAGCAGATCTCAAAAATAGATTTTTAACAGCAGAAAAATTTCTAGAACACTCATTCAAGTTTCATGCTTTTATTTCGATAGGAAAAAAAATGAAGGTCTTTATTCAAATTCAAAAGATTCTTAAATGTATAATTAATATTAATTTATAAAATTCTCCATTGATTTTTATGTAATATAAATAATTAATAATTAAATATTTTTAGAATTTTTTTTAATAAAATAGCTAAACCTAGGTTAGATGTGCTACATTGTCCACTAACCTATTCATTTATGCAAAAAATTATCGAAATGCTAAGCTTTCAATATATTTTGGCATATGTTTGAAAAAAATACATGCATAATTATAACCATATGACCAATTTTTATAGTGTGATAACTCTTAGACCAATATATATTTTGCAATATGTTTGAAAAAAATTTATTCACAATTTTAGCCATATGACCAATTTTTATATTATGATAACTCTTAGACCAGTATTTATCCCTTTATAGAACTTTTTACAAATCTAAATTTATTTTTATGACCATTTTTGATTTTTGGTTAAGCTGATTTTCACTGTGATCAATTTTGTCATAAAAAAGGGCTATTATAAGAAGTATATATCAGGGTTATAGCTAAATTATATTTTGAGGTTTTTTAAAATTAAATAGTCTTTTAAAAAAATTTCATTAAAAGGTGGCCATATCTCAGGAATAATCCAAGTACACTGAAATTATTATTTTAGTGTATAAAATACTACCATAATATAAATTTCTTATTAAAACAATGGGGACAAGATGGACCTTAAGTTGATCTGATATTGAATCTTTAATTTATTAGTTATTAGGAAGAAAAATGTAGTAATAATTTTTAGCAATGTAACATTTAAAAAATGATAGCTATAGCTAAGAAAGTGGATAACCAGTAGCAAAGATACTTTTTGAGAGAAAAGCTAAATATCATTTTTCAATGAAAGGTTTAATAAAACTCAAGTTTTATATGAAGTTATAATAATATAATAGGAAAACTCTTATTTATCATAAGACATTTGACACAATAATTTTTAAAAAAAATTAAATATTACATTGTTTAATATTTTGATAGATATATTATGTTAGAAATATATTTTATAATATATAAGATTTATAGAATTATTATTTGTAATTTTTATAAATTGACTATTTCATAATGGGACCCAGAAAACTAATAAGAAATTATTTTTTAATCTACTATATCATATTTATGGTTTATATAGCATATTTAAATATTGAATAAAAAAACAAAACTGTACTTGTATTATATTTATTGGAATAATATTTTTTATCAGAAAAATTTGTTCCATAATTGTGATTTGTAATATAAGAATTTTAAATAAAATTTCAATCTGATATAAATTTTAACTGATGTGAAGTGGTAATTTAAATTACACAAAACTTTTTGATAATTTTTATGAATGCTAGTAAGTATATTATTGATATAAACTTTTTTAATTTAAAGCAACATAATTGAATGAAGCTTTATTTAACAATCAATAAAATATTTTTAAAATTAAAGTGTCAAGGGAAGAACATTTTTGTTAAATCTTGGTTGAATAAAAATAGTTGATTATAAATTAATGCTAATTTACCTTGATATTAATTTCAAAAAGTTTTGAAGATTTCATATTTTCGATAAATAATGAATGAGAAACCCGACCTAATGAAACAGACGATCAATCAATCAATTAGTGCATCTAATAGAAAATTTATAAATATAATATTATAACAAAAATATCATAGTATCTTCATCATGATTCACAGAATAGGTGTGTCCTTAAAAAAATCTAGATACAAATGCAAATAAAATAATCTTATATAAAATAGTAAAATCATAAGATTTAAGATACTTGTAACTTTTACCATAGGTGTAGCCAGGCTTTTCCTAAAGCAAGGGAATCAAAAAATTACTGGGGGCTTCACCCCCAGACCACATTTTGGGCGGGCTTTTAGTCCGCTTTTGCACGGCCTTGGACCGGGCTACCTTAGTCTATAAAGAAGATATTTTTACAAGATAGGAGTAAAAAAACAAATATGCTTGTCTCACCAATACCGTGTTTATCCCAATCGTTACCAATACCCTAGGCATGTTCGGAAGTGATGCTTTCATCAAAACTATATTTATAAAAATGATGCAGATCTCAGGGGACCCCAATGAAAGATTTTACCTTCGTCAGCAGATTTCCCTGGAAATCGGAAATCTGCCATTCCAATTTTTTAAGCATTCACTCTTCTCTAGGGTGATTTGTACCCTTTTTTTAAATTTTATTATTTTCTTCTCATTTCGCTTTTATACATATATATTTTTTAGTTCATTTTTAATATATTATTTGTTTTTTAATATGTATTTTATTATAATTTGTAACTGAAAAATTTGTGAAAATTTATTTTTTTTTAACTTATATTTAATTATAAAATATAAAAAAAAAGATAGGAGGTTAATTTTAATAAAAAAAATATGCCTGGAACAAAAATGAAATATATTTTTATCAGTTTATATATAATATAATATATTACTTGCTTGTATATACATTAATATAAAAGCATGGTAATAATTTATTTCAAACAAGTATAAGAAATTTATTTATAAAAAGTAAGTAGACATATAGTTGATATTCCTCTATTATATAGAATTAGTTACAAAATACTAGGTAAAATTCCACTTTTCAGACATATTTGACAGTTAGATAATATATTACAGTTAATATTTTAACATATTTTACTAATCAATGCTCCTGATAATAAATATAGAAACAATTTGCATTCAATTATTTAACGCCATATATTTATTTTAAATAAAAAATGATATTAAAAATTAATCTTCATATTATTCTTCCCACAATGTCTTTAAAAAATATTTTCTGATGTCCTTATCAATATTTTATAGTTTTCTGTAAAATATATAATTCGCTATATTGGTAAAAATTACTTGATTGTCATATGATAATTGATAAAATTAGCTATACTGTAAATTTTAGAAGTGTCTATATGAGCGGGAGGGGTAGGAACAGTTTGCATCCTATATTTTGAAAGGGGTAGGGAATAGGCTGTTTTAATGGGGGTAGGATAAATTTTGGGGGGATTATCAATTAAATTTTGAGATGAAAGGACAACATTTATTGCTGTAAAATTAATACTTTTATTATAGAATTATTATAATACATCTGTATATTGCAAACAATCATACACATTGTTTTCCAAATAAATCTTTCTGCTATCCTTTTAAATGTAATTTAAAAGGTTTAGATATTTCAGCAAACTTATAATGCCATAATATTTAATTCATTGTAAATAATGAAGGTTTTAATTGAATTTATCTAAAAAATAAATTTTTTATATTCACAAAATATCGATAGTTGGTAGTAGAGATAGATTAATTTAAGTTATCCTAGATAAATTCTCTGAAAAGAGTATCAATAAATTAAAAAGGTGAAAATAATAATAGAAAAACACCGCCGCCGAAGACTGCAAAATTTTTTAGTGGTGTAGGCAAAGGTTTTTGAAGGAGGTTTGCATCCAGTGAAAATCCTGTCATTTAGACGCTGAATCTACTACATATAATATTCTACTGTTTGTATTGTGCTTTAATTTTTTTATTTAACTTATGATTTAATTTTATCAATTGTTTTATAATTATATTTTACTTTTATTAAGATAAATAAATTAAAATTACTCACTTTATAAAAAATTATATTTGATATATTATATTATTTAGTAATTTTATGGATCTATTATTAATAATTATAATTCATTTCACTTTTGTCTTAAGACTTATCTTTGGCTTATATTCCATTTCTTAAAAAACATTTTTGGTTCACTTTTTTTGTATATAAATGCTTTTTTCCAAAAATATATAAATTATGATGAATAGTTTTTTAAAAAAATATAAATTTTTCTATTCTTTCTTTCAAATTATTGTTTAAGATATATGCATACATTTTTGGGGGTCAGGGAGTGGGGGGAGGACTAAGCTGAATATTTTTTATTAGCTTAAAATAATATTCACAAAAAGTGATAAATTTCTGAAAAGGGGGATATCCCCTATCCCCCCCCCCCCAGCTACGCCTATGCTTTTTATAAACAAGATTATTTTAGATATAAGATACTTTTAAGTAAAATATTTTCTCTACAATGATCTGTAAAAGTTAATGAGAAGTCTTAAATGATCTAGTGGTTAACGAATATTATTGTTTGCCCACCCAACTACTATAAAAAAAATGGATCCATCAATTAGAGTGGAAATGGAGAGTACTATACGCAATAAAACAGAAAACCATATGGGCGTAACAAGCTTCAATCCCTTTTTTTAGCTAAGATTATCCAAAATTATCTTCTTTTTCTAAAAATTACTTTCTTTTTTTAGCTATCATTATCCAAAATTATTTTATTTTTTTTAGTTAACATTTTTATAATTACGTTTGATATTTTAAAAATTAATGTTTTGAGCGGTCTTCAAATTTTTTAGGGGGCTCTAGCCCTTGCCTTTTTCCTAGTGACTTTACTGCCATATATATGTTAATAACCAGCTTAAAGATAAATTCTATAGGCGGAAAAATAAGAGCTCTTACATAGAAACCCAAAAGAATCTATTATCTAAAATATAAAAATAAAATTAATTATTCATATTTTTTGGAAACATATAGTAACAACTTTTTTTAATTAGTGTTGTAAAATAATGTAGAATAAGGTAATATAGTTATGAACGGCGTTTATTTTGTTTCAAAGGGTAACGAGTAACGTGTTTATTATTTTTTGAATAATGGTAACGAAAAACGTTACTTTAAATATTTGTAAAAAGAATTTTTTTTAAATTTTATATATAATTTAAGCTGAGTTTTTAATTCAGATCAATCACCAAAATTTTTCATTTAAATTTTATTTATTACATTTTTATAGTGCTGTAAACGTTACTATAAAAAAGAAACGCTTTACCGTTACTAGTTACATATGGAAAAAGCCTTTTCAAAAAAGGAAAGCGTGTTACCGACTTTTCAAAAAGGTAACGGCTTCTCGTTACTTAAAAAAATTAAATATATTCAAAAATAATATTTATTTTTTTTCGACAATATATAATAAAATAAAACTATACAAAAACAATATATAAGATCGTTTTATAAAAAAAAATTTCATATATATAATTATAATATAAATAAAATTATACAAAAATAATATATTATAAGATAACATCTTTATGTATCAATTTTTTATTTATTCTTACAATAATTGATGTCCAAATTTTGATCAGACAAACAAGAGCGCTTAGTGCTCACCACAGATGGTTAAATAATGGGTTGTTATATATAGTATTTTAATAATAAATAAAATCTATAATGAAATTCTCTGTAAAATTTTATTATTGGATAAATCCTAGCTACACCACTATTCCATATATATATATTATTTAAACAAAATTTTTAAATTGTTCTTTAAATTTATTAACAATTATAGTTAAATCAATAGCAATACTAAAACAAAAAATAGAAGATATTGTTTAAAAAACTCAATATAATATGAACCAAAACCAATATTTTGTTAATCTTGGGTTTTAATGTTGGTTTCCAGCCCAATACTGTAGTTTAATTTAATTGCTAATATTTATAGCTCTACCGATCCACATATTTTTCACCAATCCGATATTGCGATACTGATCCAATATTTATATTAATTTTCGCAACCCCACTTTGAACCATAATTAAGAAATCAATATTTTTTATTAAAAAAAATCAAATTATGCATTTAATTTTATTTCTTTATTTCTACAATTAAAACTATAATTAAAAACATATATTTTTATGTTGGTATGAATTATAAAATTGTATTATTTAATATATAAAATTATAATATATTAGATTTTTTAAAATAAATATTAGAGCCTCACTATTTATATCCCCTGCCTTACTGAAAGCAGACATGATTCCGTAAATAACGCATTTTGCAAAATTATCTCTGTCTTTTGTAAAATATTTCCATAATTCAGACACCATATTTAAAAAAATTCTTTTATTTAAAGTATAAATAATAAAATTGGCGTTATTATTTAAAAAGATTTAAAGTAAATAAAACTTTGTCCTTTCTATTTTTATAAAAAAAACATTTAAAATACTATATATTTATTTTAAAAAAGTAATAAAATTTATTTTCATTGTTTAAAAAAATTATTTAGAAGATATCAAATAACGTAAAATAAATATACATAGTATATAATAACAAAATAAGAAAAGTAAAAAGATCGGATCGGTTTTTTACAGGTATCGGCCCAATCCGATATTTTTGGAAAACGCTAAATATCTGTGCCTATCCGATCCGATATTTAATATCGGCACAGTCGTACTTATATTTTAATTCCATGATTAAGCTTTTC